CGGACATTACGTAGAAAAATCATAAACTTATTTTCTATAGTTGTAAGTAAGAATATACCTTAAGTAAGTGAGAAACTGTATTGATAAGATGGTGAAGGGTTTATAAGTGCATTATAATTATATATTATAATTGGTTATATATAATTGGGTGTGGTAGTATAGAGTAAGTAAGAGTTTAGAAGTTTTAAATGAAGCATCTGTGTGTATGTGAGTTAGAAACCCATTAGACAAAAGTATTTGCAGTGCAGCAGAAGTAAGCAAAGGTGATAGGTTAGGAAAGCAAAACAAACCCTGTGTCAGCTGTCTGCTGGGTTAGAAAGTTCTATATTGCCTTGTAACGAAGGAACTTGTGACTACTTTGAGCTATGGCCGAATGCTTGCTCCTCTAAAATCTCACCCTCTGAGATGGTGTTTATCTGAGCAATGAATGGACGGTCCCATCCCTTTATTACAAAGGGTGACAACGATACAGAACCCTGTTACTTACCCTGTAACAAGGCTGTTACTTACCCTGTAACAAGGCTGTTACTTACCCTGTAACATCGCTGTTACTTACCCTGTAACAACGCTGTTACTTACCCTGTAACAAGGCTGTTACTTACCCTGTAACAACGCTGTTACTTACCCTGTAACAAGGCTGTTGCTTACCCTGTAACATCACTGTTACTTACCCTGTAACAAGGCTGTTGCTTACCCTGTAACATCACTGTTACTTACCCTGTAACAAGGCTGTTGCTTACCCTGTAACATTGCTGTTACTTACCCTGTAACATCGCTGTTCCTTACCCTGTAACAGTGCTGTTACTTACCCTGTAACATCGCTGTTGCTTACCCTGTAACAAGGCTGTTACTTACCCTGTAACAAGGCTGTTGCTTACCCTGTAACAAGGCTGTTGCTTACCCTGTAACAAGGCTGTTGCTTACCCTGTAACAACGCTGTTATTTACCCTATAACATCGCTGTTGCTTACCCTGTAACAAGGCTGTTGCTTACCCTGTAACAAGGCTGTTGTTTACCCTGTAACAAGTCTGTTATTTACCCTATAACAAGGCTGTTACTTACCCTGTAACATCGCTGTTACTTACCCTGTAACAAGGCTGTTGCTTACCCTGTAACAAGGCTGTTACTTACCCTGTAACAAGGCTGTTGCTTACCCTGTAACATCACTGTTACTTACCCTGTAACAACGCTGTTACTTACCCTGTAACAAGGCTGTTGCTTACCCTGTAACAAGGCTGTTGCTTACCCTGTAACATCACTGTTACTTACCCTGTAACAAGGCTGTTACTTACCCTGTAACAAGGCTGTTGCTTACCCTGTAACAAGGCTGTTACTTACCCCGTGTCCCCCATGCTGCTGCCCCCTCCGAGCCCATCAGCGGTGTCTGTTTCCAAACTCTCCTCTGAGCTTTTCCGTTTCCTGCTCCTACTCTCCTCGAGCAAAGGTAAGGAGAACTCTATGCCTGGGCAGAGCAAAGGCAGCAGTGAGGGCCGTGTGCCAGCCCTGCCCCGTGCCCGCGCCCCGTGCCCTTACCGTCGCCGCGCATGGCGTCGCGCAGGCCGCGCGTGGTGGGCGCGATGGCGGCGGTGGGCACGGCGCTGCCCGCCAGCCCCGCGGCGCGGAACAGCACCGAGAACTGCGGCGCGCACACGTAGAAATACGGACACAGCCGGGCCCGCAGCAGGTTGTACAGGGAGGTGAAGCTCACCGACCTGGCGGGGAACAAACAGCGCTGGCACAGCTGGCAGTCCTGCCCTGCTGGAGAGGGAAGCTGGGCGAGGCACGGAGGGAATGGCTCCCAGTGCCAGAGGGCAGGGCTGGGTGGGAGAGTGGGAATTGGGAATTGTTCCCTGGCAGGGGGGCAGGTCTTGGCACAGGGTGCCCAGAGCAGATCCCTGGCAGTGCCCAAGGCCAGGCTGGACACTGGCGCTGGGAGCAGCCTGGGACAGTGGATGATGTCCCCATGGCAGAGGTTGAAATGCAATGATCCCTACGCTCCCCTCCAACCCAACCCATGCCATGACTCTGATTAATTAAAATCTCCCTGTCTCACTCTATCCCAGCCCATCAGTACTTTGGCTGCACTTACCAGTCACTCATGAGCACCTGCTGCACGGCCTCGTCCTGCGCCCAAGGACAGGCCTTTCCAGCCATCCTCCTGTCTGCCCCGAGGCGGGGGAACAGCGGCAGCCAGGGCAGCGAGGGGTGCAGCCAGTAGACCAGGCTCTGCTGGAAGGCACAGCGCAGCTCCGTGCACAGCCGCGGCTCCTGCGGGTGCCACAGGCCGTGAGGGGCGCGGTGAAGCTGCCATCCTGTTTTCCATTCCCAAATTTACATTCCCAGTTCCCATTCGAATCCTCATTCCCATTATCATCCCCATTCCCAGTTCCCATCCCCATTCACAGTTCCCATTCCCCATTCCTTATTCCCAGTTCCATTCCCAGTTCCCATCCCCATTCACAGTTCCCATTCCCCATTCCTTATTCCCAGTTCCATTCCCAGTTCCCATCCCCATTCACAGTTCCCATTCCCCATTCCTTATTCCCAGTTCCATTCCCAGTTCCCATCCCCATTCACAGTTCCCATTCCCCATTCCTTATTCCCAGTTCCATTCCCAGTTCCCATCCCCATTCACAGTTCCCATTCCCCATTCCTTATTCCCAGTTCCTATTCCCAGTTCCCAGTTCCCATCCACATCCCCTTTCCCAGTTTTCCATTCCCAGTTCCTGTTCCCAGTTTTCCATTCCCAGTTTTCCATTCCCAGTTCCTGTTCCCAGTTTTCCATTCCCAGTTCCTGTTCCCAGTTTTCCATTCCCAGTTTTCCATTCCCAGTTCCCGTTCCCAGTTTCCCATTGCCGGCAAAGCTGCAGCCCCGGGCCCAGCCCTCACCTGCACGCTCCGGGGCAAGGTGGTTTCTGCAGCTCTGCAGTGCTGTGCAAAGCCCTGCGCCTCCTCCTGTGCTTTCAGGTGCTCTGCCCACGTGAAGGGTTGGGAGGACATGAAGAGAACCCGGGTTTTAATACTCCAGTCCGCAGGGAATTCCTGTCTTGGCGAGGAGGGAGCTTTGGGAACAGCCAGAGGTGAATGAAGGCTCTGAGCAGACAGAAACAGCATCAGTTAACTCACAGAAAACTAAACCTGTTCACAGGCTGAACCAAAGGCACAGTTACTATTTTATACATTATTATAATATGTATTATTATTTAATATTTATATGATTATATTGTCTATTGAATTGTTTATTATATTATTTATTATAGTATTTATTGTATTGTTTATTATATTATTTATTGTATTATTTATTATATAATTTATTATATATTTATTTATAATTCTTGTTTTTTATATATATATTTATATATTTTCTATTATTATTTTGATTATTTTATTCAGTACCAGATTCTAACAAAAATACTCCATTCTACTGCCTACAAAACCACATCAGAGGGCTTGCACTCATGAGTCCTTCCAACAGTATAAACTAGGAACAAATAAAGGATAAATTGTTAAAACTAAAAAGCCCCGAGCCTGTTGTTTACAAAGACAAGAATTTCCATGCCAAAATGGTTATTTCATTTAATTCTCTCCTGGTGACTGTAATATTACATGCTGAAAAAAGCCCTGAGCACCTCCAAGACAGTTTGCTTTCTTTTTTCTATCCTTCTCATTTAGTTGGAACTTCAGTTTCTGTACCTAGAACAACATGTACCTAGAACAACATCCATTTCATTCTATTGAAACTCTGTTTCAATTTCAAGGGCTGGTTTTCAGGAATTCCTGCTTTCCTATGTGCCTGATGAAGTGCTCCATTTCTGTAGCTGAAAACCAGAATGCAGGAGCTATCTGGTGAAGAACATCCTAATCTCAACTACATATAAAACTAAGAAACAGTACAATTATAGTTACGAAAACTGAAAGACAACAACCTCTGTCCATGGAACTACGATAGCACTGAGGTCAGGCAGAAGGCTGGGTTTTAAAGACTGTCACCAGAACAGGAATCAATGTAAGAAATGTCCTTGAATACGGACATTTTAGTACATTCTTTTACACAGAGATGGGCCAGCAAAAACCACGTGAAACAGTTTCAGCTTTCTGTGCGTCCTGAGAACAACTGGAATCTTTTCAGCAGCGATTCCAGCAGCGTGTGCCGTTCCATACCTGGCTTAGGTCGAGGATGTCGGAACATTCAGCAGGCTCCGCTCTCCCGGGAGGCTTCTCTTCACCCGCCGGATCTAAAAACTGAATGAAAGAACAGCATAAGGCACAGCACAAAGGAAGCAGCGGGCTGATAACTTTAAAAACTGCCCTTGCAATGACATTTCCCGAGTGCTCCTCAGCACCCTGGGCTGCGAACAAACCCCGATCGGGGCGAGCACGAGATCCGCACCCAGCGCTGAGCGCAGCCCGAGCCCAGCAGGGCCTTGGGGGAGAGCCAGGGCGGCATCGGAAAGGGGCTGAGGGCGAGGGCTGAGGGTGGTGGCTGAGGGCTGAATGTTATGGCTGAGGGTTGAGGGTGGTGGCTGAGAGCTCAGTGCAATGGCTGAGGGCTGAATGTGATGGCTGAGAGCTCAGTGCAATGGCTGAGGGCTCAATGTGATGGCTGAGGGCTCAGTGCAATGGCTGAGGGCTGAGGGCACTAGCTGAGGGCAATGGCTGAGGGCTGAATGTTATGGCTGAGAGCTCAGTGCAATGGCTGAGGGCTGAGGGCACTAGCTGAGGGCAGTGGCTGAGGGCTGAGGGCAGTGGCTGAGGGCAGTGGCTGAGGGCTGAATATGATGGCTGAGAGCTCAGTGCAATGGCTGAGGGCTGAGGGCACTAGCTGAGGGCAATGGCTGAGGGCTGAGGGCTGAATGTGATGGCTGAGAGCTCAGTGCAATGGCTGAGGGCACTAGCTGAGGGCACTAGCTGAGGGCAATGGCTGAGGGCTGAGGGCTGAATGTGATGGCTGAGAGCTCAGTGCAATGGCTGAGGGCTGAGGGCAGTGGCTGAGGGCTGAGGGCAGTGGCTGAGGGCTGAGCGCGGCTGACCCCGCTGCCGGGGCTCGGTCCCACCTGCCAGAAGGGCGCTGCCGATGCATCCCCGCCCGCCGGGGCCGCTGCCGGAGGCCGAGGGGCGGCCGCCGCCCGCCGCGGAGCTTTGTCCAGGCTGGAGAAGGGGTTGCGGCGCCGGCCGGCCGCAGAGCCCCGCGGGGCCGGGGCGGCGGCGGCTTCTGCGGAGGCGGTGGCGGGGTCGCTCCTCCGCCCAGGACGTTTGCGCTTCAGCCGCAGCAGCGCCGGCGGCTTCTTGAAGCCGGGCGAGTGCTCGGGCTCGGCAGGGGCGGCCATGGCAGAGCCGCGCTCCCGTCTTGGCGCCAAAGAGCGGCCGCTCCGCCCCGGGGCGGCGCTGAGGGAGCGGCGCCGCCATCGCTGCCGCCCTCAGGGGCTCTGAGGGGAGCGCGGCTCCCGCCAGCCCCGCTCCGCCCGCACGGGCAGCGCAGACCTGGAGCACAAAGACACACGGCGCTGCCATTGTGTCCGAGCCCTTCAAATGCACCCGCACAGCGGCCCCAGGGGCTGCGCTCGGCCGCGGCAGCAGCGCTCCAGGGCCGAGCTCTGCGAGATGTGACACTGAACCCACAGGCTTTAGTCTGTCTGGGAGCAATAAATGAATGTTTCAGTCTCCTTGGGATAGAAAGCCACTTTTGATTGCACTGTTCTGTCGTACACTGGTTTGAAAAGACATCATCAGAAATACTAAACTGGTATAATTAGGGTCCATGTGTGTCAAAAGTCGTCAGAAGTCATAAACAGGTAGTTAGCAACATCTCTACTAACAAAATATTTGATAAAAGAAAAAGCTGGGCTATCAAAAATTTACACAGTCCTGTCACTTGTTGCTCTTGTCTTTTACAACGTTTAAATTTGTTTCCTGTGCTCTTCTTTAATTTGGGCACACTGAAGCAAAATTGAGCAGCATCAGGGAAAATCCAACAGCTGGGTCCACCAAGGCTTCAGAACGGGTGTGGAACTCCCGGAGGACTCGCACGCTTCAGCCGTGCACAAAAGCTCCTCTCCTTTCCGAGGCTGCACAGCAGCACACGGGGAGTAAAATCAGAGTTCCTCCTGATTTCCTACACTCGCCCTGCATCATTTATCCAGCACCTTCTCCGAGTGCAGGGAGTGAGGGGACACAGATGAAGTGTGGTTCTGGATAATCTGTTTTCTCTCCAATTCTCCCACTGACAGAGCTTTGAAGTGGCATGTCCATGGCCTGAGTGATCCACAGTGAAAATGAGCGACACGGCTGAAAGAGAAAAAGTATTTTTGCTCTTGAATCACAGCATGTAGGGAGGCACACGCTTTGAGGAAAGCAAAATGCAGTTCCTTCCCCACTGCTGACTTTCAGACAGGCCACAGTCATGGATAATGCTGGAGAGACAGATCTGGGTTGTGCTGAGGTTAACATGCACAGCACAGAGAGATACCAAAGGTTACAAGCTACACAAAGTGCCTCAAACATTTGACTCGCACAATTCCAACAGCTTGGGGACTCTGGATTTACCAGGTTTGTTGCCTTAGTGCTGAAATGAAGGGAGAAAGCTGGGGGAAACTCCTGCTGTCAGCACCACATCCTTCCCATCTGGCACCCTTGCCAACCTTGATAGTTTTGCCTGTCCTTCAACTGAATAACAATTTTAAATGTGGATTAAGATCTTTAAGTATAGCATTCAGTCACAGTGCACTCAAAAGCAAAAGATAACTATAAAGGTAACTACTGGTAGGGGTTGGAGACAAAAGATAATAAATAACTCTTAATTTCTTAGAGTTAGAAACCAACAGCGACCAAGTTTGCCTGTAAATGTTTCTGACATTTTTACCTGTGGCAGGACAGACAAGATTTTTATGTCAAGGCTGTTTCTTTAGAAGCTGCTGATGGGAACATTCTGCTCAAGGGAATTTAAAAACCCTGAAGTCATGGAAGTTTCAGAGACCATTTGAGCTGAGGTACAAAGAATGTTTAAATTCTGTTTGCTGCCTGCAAGTGTACACTGATTTAGTCCACAATTACATTTCTTTATCTTCCCCAGGCTGAGAAATCAGAAGCTGTGTGTCAGAACTGGATGACTTGTCTCTTTCTTGCTTGATTCTTCTGAACTATTTCCATAGAAACTTTGGCTTCATACAATGGGATCGGTTCATCCAGCTGAGGCCTGAAATGAAACAGTAAAAAGTGCTGGTGAGCACACTCAGACCACCAAAAATATCACAGGACACACTTTACTTTCACTGTGTCAACCTCCCTCCTCAAACAAAGTAACAATTTTATGGCTTTGCTCCAGTGCCCAGAAAAAGGGAAAAGTCCCAAAGCAAACAGGAGACACAAGGGAATGAAAATAGATCCTTCTTGCAGGGGAAAAAGGGGGTGGTGGGGAGGGTTCTGTTCAACAGCAGCTGTTATCCTGCTTTAAGGGAAGGGATCTTCCATTCCCACCTTATTATGGGAGTCTTCCTATCTCCTGAAGCTCTGCTCAGGAGTGTTAGTGTTAGTGGCAAGAGTTAGTGGCAAGAGTTTTCTACTTCTAATGCTGAATTAAAAACCCCACAAAAATCTCCACATCTCTCACCTGAAAATGCTATTTGATAATTTCTCCATGATATCTTCCAGGATGGGTATCCAAGAGGACTGTTAAGGAACAATAGAGCTGGAGAGAAATCTCTTACAATCACATTTCCTGGCCACAGCCCTGTACTGATACAAACTCATCAAGATCAAGGGAAAATGAAAATGAGCTTCAATTCCAAGCTTTAGATCAGATTTTTGCACTTGTTTCTATATCAGAAACCTTCTTTGCTGAGATAGGATCCAGAAGTGAAATATGGGATATTTCAATTATTTCAATATGAAATACAAGCACTAGAACATCAATCAATCATTAATCAATGGCATTTTTTGTGCAGGATGAAGAGAACAGATTTTGGGACCAGGTAGCTGTTGTGACTGTTCATACAGGCACCTGATAAAAAGCTCAAATGAAGCTGGGAACACAGCAGAGGCTGGAAATTCTTGGAGCAGAGTGCCATGTGAGGGGTCTGTGAGTTAATGACCACTAGCCAAGCCAGCACAACACATGGGGCTGTATTCAGTCTTTGTTGGAAACTCAAACAACAAGGTTCATCCTTCATTTTAAGGGCAATCTACTTGAAGCTCAAGTTCTTTTAAAAAGTGATCAATCTGTGATTTCTTCAGATGACAGTAATGCCAGATGCTCCAGAATTTCACAAGATACATAAGTTCCTAAAGCCAAAAGCACCCACACCTTCCAGGGCTGAAAATGTCCTGCCCAGGGAGCTCAGTCCAGCTGCATCAGCCCAAATGTAGGAGTTATTCCTTTTCCTGTTCCCAACCCACATTGTCCCTCCATAAATTGCAGGTACAAAACAAATCAGTACATTTTCTGTACATAATATTTCTGCACATTGCAAATAAAGGAAAAGTTAGGAAGCCAAAACACTTCCACTCTTGCAGTGAACACGAGTGCATTAAGTTTACAGGTGATGCATCTAATGTCCAAAAGCACAACAACCAAAACAAAACCCAAAATGTCAATTTCATACAATAAAAACATATAGAAACAAATCTTCAATTAATTGGTTCAATAATGAACAAAAATAGTGCATTTTTTTCTCCCAGAATGGGTGTTTTGCAGCACTGCTTTTACTGAAGCTTGTAGAGACATTTTCAAGGCCAGGCTGGACACTGGGGCTGGAGCAGCCTGGGACAGTGGGAGGTGTCCCTGCCATGGCAGGGGTGGCACTGGGTGGGCTTTAAGGTCCTTCCCACCAAACCAGTCTGGGATTCCACAATGTATTTAAAAGGAATGCAGAGAATACATTAAAACCTGAGTGTCTCTTACATATTATCTCCACCTTTCAATGGGGTTGCAGCACTGAGCAGAGGAGCACCTCTCAGTGGGATTTTCCAGTTGTATTTTCACTCCTGAGCAGTGAGAATTCCACAGGGCCACCAAAGGATATTGAGATACTTCCCCTGCTGCACATTGGACAAGTTCCAGATCTCATCGTTCAGGAAGGACACTGTGGCTCCCTTAAGGAACAAGGAATGGCTGTCTGGAGGATCCAGCTGAATCACATTGGAGAAAAATGTTATTCAGTTACATTTTCCCATACAAAAATAAAGGTTAAATGGTTATTTTACAGAGACAGCTAAACCAAACAAAAAACACTCCTTGCCCACTTTTGAAAGAGAGGAAACTAGTAACACTGACAGGTTGATACAACACCTTTATGTGTCTGTATCTCGATTTTCTGTGGGACAAACTACTCCCTGCCACAGGCATCTTTACCTGCAGGTTCCTTTCTGTCGTTATCCAGCGTCCCCCGACCCCAAGCAGAGTGATGATGTCGTGCTTGTGAGGCAGCAGCTGGGATTTGGAAGCTGGTTCATCTTCAGCACTGTACAACCTCACTGGGGAGGGAGAATAAATTCCTCTGAGCTCAGGAGAAAATGTGGAAAATTCAATATGACAGGTGTCAGTGGAACTCTAAGGTTCTCTGTCGTTTCAGCTAAAAATCATTGAAAAACTCTGAATTTATTATTTTACTTATACGCTGAGTATTTTAGATACTTTACTCAGAATAATGTTTTATATTAGCTCTGAAGTTACTATTCAGAGTGATATTTTGTTTATATTCATATTCATAATACTATATAGCAACAATACAGACTGTAATATAGCCTGTATTACATAGTATATAATATAATAATATATCTTATACATAATATAGTCTATTATACATAATATCGTATATATAAGATATAATATATATAATACATAGTATATAACATATTGCAAAATGTATAAAGCACCATATATAACTATAAATTAGTTTATTATATATATGATAGTATATATAATATAATATATAATTTAAATTTATAAATTATATATCTAGATAGCATTATATATTTAGATATAAATATATATCTAGTATAGTATTATATATGGATAGTGTATCTATCTAGATAGTGTATCTAGATATATATCTAGTATATCCAGATAGTATATATTTAGATACTATTATATATAAATATATATCAGCAGTATGTTATACAATATATAACAATAGTAATATATATAATATCTAGTATAATAATATGTAATAATTTTTAATTTACATAACTGAATAGTAACTGAGGTTACTATTCAGAGTTACATAAATAAAATGTTATTACACATTATTATAGTAGAGTATACAAGTTTTCACATGAGTTTTCACCTATTAGAGTTGGTTTCCAATAGAGGTTACTTAGGGTTAATTTCTGTATTCAAACAAGGCAGCATAACCAACGATGTCCCAGCTCCGCTCTTTAGAGGCATTTTTGAATTCCAGTTTCAAAGAGGAAGATTTCAGCCCCTTTCAGCTGGGAGCAGTGGGTGACAGGGGAGCCCTGTGGGACAGGGAATGCCCCTGCCGAGGAGGAGGATGCTCCCGTACCTCCGGCATCCAGGACGATGTCCACGCCCAGCCCGCCCGTCTCCTCCAGGCAGCTCTCGGCCACGTCAATCTTGCCGTGGGACACGTCGATCACTCGTGCTGCCAGAGCAGGACAGCAGCAAAAACCACTTCAGATCCACAGAAATGGGGTTTAGGTGCTCAAAACTGAGAACTCGGGTCCCGAGCAGCACACGCAGGCTCTGCTCTCTACAGGTGCCACAAACGGGTTTGCAGCCACGCCAAAAAAACCTGGCACAGCTTTTATTTATTTTCTTTTTTCATTTTCAACACAGTGCAAAATCAGCACAGAAAGTATAAATGCAGAAATTAATTCATGAGTTTGTTGGCCCAAAAGGATAAAATGGGGCACTCTAAGGTTAGAAATCCTTCTCTAAGTTCATTCTTTGCTATTCTGTCCAAGCCCTGGCTCTCTTAACATTAATTAAATGTTTAGATGAAAGAATTTACATCTGCTCTTGAAATATTACTGAACTGAAAGCCACCAACACATTTTCCTGTCCTGGCATGTATGATGCCCTGTGTATGGCTGGCTATAAAGATGAAGCACAGAATCAGGAATGAGAGAATCCTAGAATGGTTTGGGTTGGAAGGGTGGGATCACATCCCACCCCTGCCATGGCAGGGACACCTCCCACTGCCCCAGGCTGCTCCAGCCCCAGTGTCCAGCCTGGCCTTGGGCACTGCCAGGGATCCAGGGGAATCTGGGAATTCCATCCCAGCCCTGCCCACCCTGCCAGGGAACAATTCCCAATTCCCAATCTTCCACCCATCCCTGCTCTCTTTCAGGTAAAAGCCATTTTTAATATTATAGCAATAACACAGAGAAGGAGCAGCCACAGGTTTTGTTCCATCATTATGAGGCAGAACAAACATTTATAAACTAAACAGGCCAAAGACTTCACAGCAAAATGAGAACAGAAAGAACATCAGATTTGGAGGCCTGAGCTCTGATCCTCACTTACCCACCAAAGGCTGCCGGACTCCTGGAATGTGATCCCAGCACAGGGAGGGAAGGAAGGAGGGAGGAAAGAAAAAATACAAGGAGCTGGTCATTAAGGATATTAACAAATCATCAATAAATACCTTGGGTTTGGTTTTTTTTGTCCCTTTAAACCCCCAATCTAATAATAGGATGCATTCAAATCCCAAGTAATTTTCTCCTTTTTTTTTCACTGATGTCAAATGATTTCACTGGAGAGAACACACAGCCAAAATTTACTAAAGATGGGATAATAATTAATTATTAATGATAGTCACATTCCCTATATGCAAATAAACCCCCATAATATCCTTTTCTTCTTAGTTTCCTTCGGTCAAGAAGTTAAAATGTTTTCCTTAGCAGGGCAATTTGACATGGTATTATTTCTGCAAATAATTTCACTTTTTGAAAATAATTCTGGTTTCACAGACTTAAAGCCTGGTAATCAAAAAAAAAAAAAAAAAAGCCAGAGTTCTACCAGTTTGACTATTTTCTGATTCTGTATAGCAAAAATGTCCAGTTTTGTTCCTTAACTCAGTACAATAGCTCAAACAGTACTTATCAAAATCCTACTCAATTTCCTTTCTAAAAAATGAAGGAAACATTGTCAGCACTGTGGAAAAGGCCAAGCAACAAACTGTAATATAACCTTCCATAATCCTTTGTCATTTATGTATTTCTCACAAAATACTGCTAAATGAGTTCAGTTTCTTCTGCTGTGACTTGCACAAAGTAACATTTTTCTGACTGGACAAACTCCAGTTTCTCTCCTCCTCCACTGCTGGGAGGCACAGAAACACCAGGATTCCCCAGCCTGTTCCCAGAGTTTGCTCTGGGGGGCTCTAAGCAGAGGCATCCCCTGAGAGCTCAGTGTTGGTGGCACAGAATAAAACCTCACAAAGCAAACTAAAAGAAAAGCAGGAGGTGCCCTTGGAGCAGGGGAAAGATCTGTGTATGGACAGATACTTTTCCTTGGGTTCTCTAACAGAAACTCATCCCATTGTTTATGGAATATTCTGTCTCCAGCCTGAAACACAGGCATTAAAATGTCAACATTTGTTAAAATCCCCTCCTTCATTCTATTATAATTTTTACTCCAGAGATTACTTAAGACAAAAAAAAAAGCCCCATCCTGTTGGCAAAAAAAAGACAAATCCTGAAACATTACCAGGAACTTCTACTTCTGGAATCACATTAATTAACAAACAAATCAGAAAGTCTCAACACTTTTAAAAGATTTTTGCTTTTGCACCCAAACAGTTTCTCTCTTTAATGCTGTACCCAGATTCTATTTCTTTATTTGAAATAAAGTTGCAGTTATCATTTTTGCCCCTCAGCCATTCCAGGAAGCAGCTTGGTATGTTCAACAATGATAACACAAACTGCTGCTCACTGAAAACTGCCAAAAACTAACCAAAAGCCCACTGAACAAGCACAAAATTGAAAATTCTCCACCCACACACAAAAGAAGGCACTTAGAGCTTGGCTTATTTAGGATCTGTTTGACATTAACATTTAAAGAACTTAAAATGCTGTAAAAAGTAACTTAGGACTGTGAGAATAAAATTGCTAAATCCTTTCCCAGCTCATAAATTTTTCATATAATTAGCAAAATATACCCATAAAATGTTACAAAAGGAAGTTTTAGGTCCTCTGTATTTCCTCTTTGGCCCTGTAACAGCTGGAGCAACAAGGCTCTGCATAGCAACAGCAGTCCCAAAAATCTTCCAGTTCTGATGTCACGACTGCTAGTGCAGTAAAATACATAAACATAGAGACAGTAAAAAAGGCTGCTAAATCAGGAAAAAATAGGGGTTTTTTTGGGTCAAATTGCAAAAAAAAAAGCATTGCTATCAAGCTCCAGAGAAAGCATTCTGGCAGGTGCTGCAGTGGCAGCCCTGGGGTGCTCTGGTGGGTGCAGCTGTAACCACGCAGATGGGGCTGCACCAGGCTCTCCCCAAAGGCATTGTACAGCTGCTGCTCTGTCATTTCAGTGAACGCCAACAAAAATCATACTCTGAAAAATAAACCTGGCAATCACACTGCAGCACTTGGTATTTGCAGGAGGAAGTAGCAGGCACCAGTTTTAACCTTTTGCTGCAATCCAGCCAGACTGACAAGCCACCCTTTATTTTAAAACTGTCAGAATAAAGGAATATTCCATTTCCTCCACAAAACACCATCGAAATTTTAGTCAGAAAAGATTCCAGTAGCTCCTACACAGAGTATCTTCTCATGTTATTTTCAGAGGGGAAAAAAACCCCAAACTTGAAGTATCAAAGAGAAGTCAGGGAAGAATGCAAGTGCTGTGTGTGAGGCCAAGCTCCTTTGGAAAGCAGGAGAATGCAGAGCCTGTGCATGTGCAGCTCCAGCTGTGGCAGTACCTGACACTGGACTGAACACTTGTAGGAGTAATCTGAGGCTGCTGAGTGTCAGGTGTGTGAGCTCTGGCACACACTGGGGTAGTGGTGAGTCAGCAATCCTTCCTCCCACAGCAGCAACTTCATCACATGGAAAGATTTCCTGAGCACTTAGGCCAAAAGCCAGCACTCAGCACTGCTAGGAAGTACTGCCAGTCATTACAACTGAAATGGGGAACAAAAAGTACACCTAAACCAGAAGTTAAATACCTGTGGAGCACAGAACAAACCTGAAAACTATTTAATTAAACTATTCATCAATTTGTATTTTATTTTTACAGAAGTTTCTAGACCTGACAGAAAAAAAATATTTTGAGACATTCTTTAGGCCAAACTTGAGCACTGAAGGATAAAACTCACCCCCAGCAGGTCTGAGCCTCTCCAGGTACTGCTTGTCCTCCAGGCTGTGGGCAGTGGAGATGACTTTGGCCCCTCTGTGTTGGGCCAACTGAATTGCGATGGTGCCAAACGGCTGAGAAGGGAAAATTAATTAATTCCCGATTAATTATTAATTAATTCATTCATTTATTTACACCAAAAATTTGATCTTGTTTAAGAACAATTATATTGTAAAGGCCAGTCAGGAGAGTACCCAGAAATGAACTTACTGCTGCAAAAAACCCACAGCTGAACCAAGAATTGAATATTCACAGATCTGCTTCTGTCCTAAGTGAGGCCAAAACAACTCTTCAGTGAATGAACTTTTAGTCAGTAAATGGTTCTTATCTTCAACAAAACACCTCAGATTCTACTTTAATTACCACAGTCACCTTCACTGCAGTTGGAACTCAGAGTTTGAAGGGAAAAACGCTCCAAGGAAAAAGCCATGTTTATATTACAGAATCTTGGCTGAGGGAACCTCACATCTTCATTAGCACTAAGAACTGCAAGATGCAAATCAAATTATTTACATCCAAGAAAAGGTAAAAAGCAGAGAACTAAAAAATCAGGCATTTTCCTGCAGTTATCCCTGAGGACTCAGGGCAAAACTGTGTCACTGTAGGACACCAGAACACCTTCCCTCTCTGTCCCCCACACTCCAGGCAGGACAATATTCCTGGCCAGGTCATCACCTGGGAAAGCCCTGCCTGCAAACCCATGAAACCAAGGGCACTGCCAGCACTCCCAGAAATGCAGGGGCTTTGTGCTAAGGGACCTTTGTGCAGGGGGAATCTGTGACCACTGCCCAGCTGCTACTTGTGGGAATCCAGGGCTTCCCTCTGGCTGCCCTGGCAGGTCTGGGACCCTGGCAGGGGTCAGGAACCCCCCTGGACAGAGCCCCCAGAGACACTGTCTGTGATCTCTGTCCATGGAGAGGAGTTTTCAATCTTACAGGGTGAATTAAAAGCTCTGAGTGTTTGATAAGAGTAATAAGTGTGACACGGGTGCAAAAGTAAAATCTTAGATTTCTAGATTAGGGGTTTAGAGGGGACAAGATGGAGGAATTGGGTGTGTTTTGTCCTTTTTCTCCTTCTTCATGCCCTCCATGTTTCACTGTGGTGTTGGCATTTTTCTGTTGGTTCAGGCTGGGGACACACTGTTCAACGTAGGTGACAGATATTGGCACGTTATTGTAAATCCAGCACAGGGAGTTTGTGGTATTTAATGTTTGTACCATCCCACTGAGGGCAGAGCCCCACACGCTGCCCTGCAGGACAGAGCTGCGGCAGGGCAGCAGAACATGTTAGAGATAAACAGAATAAACACCCTTGAAACAGCACAGACCAATTATGGCTTCTGCTTTGGCAGCGGGGCTGACAGACAGAGACTTTCTACAGTCTTGGAATCACCAATACCCACAGATTCCGACACTACTCACACTTGCTCCATCCAGGACGAGGACACTTGTGCCAGGGGACACCTGGGCCAGGTAGTGCAGGGCCGTGTACGCACGGAGCCCGTCCCGGACCGTCCCGGCAGCCTCTGCCCAACAGACCTTCTCTGGCTTGTGAACTGAGGGGACAGACACCAAACACACCAACAAACACACCAAAGAGATGGTAAAAACCCCAGCAATTCCCTGGGGTTTATTTAGCACAACCTGTCCCAGTGAGTCAGGAAGGCTCCACCTGCAAACAGGGCAACACCACTGACTCCTGTTTCCCTCTCGTATTAAGAAGCCACGGAGAGGATATTTTGCCATATTTTACACAATTAAATTAGGGATTCAGTGTTGATAGAACCAAGTTTAAGGGAGCTACCTCATAACTATTCATCTGGAATTCATGGCCAGTCACAGAAATAACACAGCCCAAATGTAGATTTTTAGAATTTCAGGGCGGTTTGGGTTGGAATGATTTCAAAGCCCATCCAGTGCCACCCCTGCCATGACAGGGACACCTTCCACTGTCCCAGGCTGCTCCAAGCCCTGTCCACCCTGGCCCTGGACACTTCCAGGGATGGGGCAGCCACACTTTCCTTGGGAAGAACAAATTTTGAACAAAAGAATAGCTTGTTCAAGGTAACAAGCTGTTGGAAGAAGAACAGGACTCCCACATTTAGTATCCTACTCATTAAAGTAATCTATGCCCAGAAAGGGAAAACTGGAAGCTCACAATAATTGAAAACAATGTTTCAATACTAGGCTTTCCCTCACCCTCCTCCTGAAAATTTCAGTCTCCTTGTTTCACCACATCTGTTAGTCTGGTCCCAAGTGATATTCCTGGACTGAGTCAAAGGGAAGAAAAAAGCAAATTTCTCCCCATTATATTTTTGACAGGTTAGGAAAAAGTATAACAACAATGAAGCAACAGAATGGGAAGTTAGAAGGGAAATAAAAGGAAAAGGAAAAGGAAAAAAACAGGGTCAGCTCATTTGGTTTAGGTCATCATGAACTGTAAAATGGTGACAGCAAAGAAAAAGCCCTTGAGAGCACTGAGTATTCAAACTTCTGTGATTTAGTGGGGAATTTTGGAATGTTGGAATGGAAGGAGTGTGCCCAGAGCTCCAAGGCAATGGGCTCCCTTTTAGAAAAGCGAAAACAAAGTCTACAAATACAGGAAAAATTATTCTTATCAAACTGTATAATCTACAAACCCAAATAATGCTCGTGCACCAGGATAATTTCACAGACACCAGACTCCTCAGAATCCAGGGGCAGAATTCCTGGGAAAAAAAAGGAACACAGACCTTGAATTTCACAAAAGCAATCATTCCAACCAAAGCATTCTCCCAAAGAATTCCCTGGTCCTGTTTGGGTTCAGTCCCCTCTTGGCAGGTTTAGGACAGGTAAGAGACCTTGGACAGGTCCCAGCCTGGGGTGTCCTGGGGGACGAGGCAGTTCCAGAGGTGCTTCTACAGCAATTTGGGATTGAGGGAGAAAGAATGGGGACACCACAGAGTGCTGTGGAAGCAGAGGATGAACACACAGGAATGTGGAAGAGTTAGAAAGGAGGAATAGGAAAAAAGGCAGTGTAGGAAAAACAAGCTACCCAGGGAAGGCAGAGAAAGCAAAAGCAGAGTAGGCAGAAAAAAACCCTCCATCCTGGTTATAACTGAGCTTTTAACCTTCACTGGCCACAGAATCTCCTGAACAGGAGGTTCTGGCACCTGCTCCATCTCCTGAATTAACATCCCCTCTATCCCATGGAAAACCATTCTTCTCTTCCCTCTCCCCTACAAATCTTGCACTCCATTTAAAACAAAGGTCTTCGCCTTGTAAATTTAGCTGCTGTGTCCAGTCTTTCACAGCTCCCATTAAAAATGTGCTTGTGCACACCTGGAGCTGTCTCCAGGCTTTCTCCAGGGAATAACCAGTCTCCAGGAGCTGCCCAGAGCAGATCCCGTGCAATGAGGGAATAATGCAAGGACCACAGTGCCCAAGCACACACTCTCCCCCATCACTCTCCACTCTGTCCTGCTTTCAGAACTTCAGTCCCCCTCTAATCCCTTCATTCAGCACACAAAATATAAACATGTGGGACAGAATGGCTTTTAGAAATAACTCCTCTCTCCTAAGGCATCATTCACAATTTGGTGGTTAATACAACATCATATTTCAAATCCTAAGGGAACATTCTTAGAACACAATTCCCATTTATAAGTTTATTCCTTTGACAGCAGTTTAATTTTGAAAATATATGGTCAATTTAGCTTTACCAATTATTCTAACCTCAGTCATTCATTATAAAAAGATGACTGTTGATGTCAGTTGAGGCAAACAGACATTAACTTACCCACCACTTCATCATCTGGCTGGAAAAAGGTCACCTTGCTTCCAACTCACCATGGAGAGGTGAAAAGGAGGAAAAAAGGGAAGAATATATTTATATATTTATAATATTTATATGTATTATATATTATACATTATATATGATATATTATGTATAATCTGTTATATATTATATGAATTGTATATAATATTTATATTTTTATAATATTTATAGAAGAAATGGGATGAATGGGATGTGCATTTGGAAGTGCTGGTTATCACTAGCTCACAAAACTAAAAATACACATTTCTTGTGAAAAAAACCCACAATTCCATTGGTGTTCACACATGCCAAGCCCAAAAGTTGAATTCCCAGGCTCTGGCACCTCAGCCACGAGGTGCTCCATGCAGGAACACACAGGTGGTGCCTGAGAGCCAGGCTGGACACGCCACCTCAGGGGTGACACAGCACTGGGACAGCAACCAAGGAAGCAAAGAGCTCCTGCTCCTGAGGTGCCCTGCCCAAAGAGAGCTCTTTGTCCTGGGGAAATCCCTGCTCCCTCCCTCCCTGGGCACTGACACTCACTCACCTTCCAGCACAACTCCCGAAATTTCTCGCCCAACAGGCACAAGTTCCTTCTTCAGTTTGATTTCTGACAGGAGCTAAATGAAAACAATGCTGACAGCATTCTTGCTCAAGCTCTGTGTTTATAAATGTATTACCACCTTACAGTGTTACATCATCACAGGCAGCTTGGGCCATTACCAAAATGTTATCCAGGGGAAGAAAGTGCACACATTCCTCAGGCAGTATTAAACCACGGCACTGAATTCTGTGTTTAAATTTAGAAACGTATTAAAAAATAAAAGCAGGGAGTTATTAACAGCCAAGCCAGCCTGTGACTTAGAGTCAGATGAAGATAAAAGGGATTTAGTGCAAGAGATCTCACAGCTGACAACTGATCTGTCTCCATGAATTACGAATGCCATTCCAGATGGTTTTTAATCAGAGCTGTGCAAGAAGCCCAGCCCAGTCCTGTGCCCACTGCCAGCAGCAAAGGCACAGCTCAGCTTGTGCCAGTCACCAGCCACGGGCACCACAGACACCCCCAGCTCTGCACAACACCAAGCAAATACCTTTGTATCCACCCAGCTCAGAGCACAGGCTCTGACCTGCACCTTCACATCGTGGTCTCTGCAGGCAGGAAGGTTCTCCTAGGACAGATTTACAGCGCTGGGTTAGACACTGGATGTGCCCCCAGGAGCTTCTCCAGCTCCTGAAAGCACTTCTCCACTTCTTAGACTGTTTTGTGGGGAGAGCAGGCAGGATTTTTTCAGTGAAAAGGGGTTTACAACATCATTTTAAGTACATCTACAACATTATTATTATTATTATTATTATCACCATCATCATCATTAGCATTACATTACTATATTATTGTATTATTTTATCATTATTATTGCAAACCGGTCACTAGGCCTTACTTATCATTATTATTATGTTACTATATTATGATACTATTATTGCAAACTGACCACTAGACCTTACTAAACCTCATCAGCCACTGATGTTATTTTTCTGTTGAGGTTTTTTTTTCACTTTACCTGAGGCACAAATCCCGACAAACCCATTGAGACCAACATTCAAGTCCTAAACGAAGTCCAAACGATGTCAAATACCAGCCCCAGTAAGAACTGGTGTTCTTACCCCAAACCTGATAGATTCCTCAAGCTTTGTTTCTATTTTTTCAGGGACTAGAGAATTCAGCCAGGAAATGTGGACCCAGGGCTCATTTTTCATGCCTGCAGAGCTTGATTGCAAAGTCTGGATACCAAAACTGCAGAACAGTGGTCTTGGCAAGTGCTGCCTGATGACAAAACGCACCTCCCCTGCCTTCCTTCCCCTTCCTTCTGTGTGTGCCAGGATCCTGCCAGTCCTTTCCCAAGCCTGCACAAGATTTCTGTGCCTCAATTCCCCTGTGGCACTCAGCCAAACTCTCCTGTCCCACTGCCTGATGGACAGAGCTGCTCTGGAGGGAACTCACTCTTTCCTGGAGCACAAATGTCATTTCCTCTCCAGGAGAATTCTGCTGACCATACAGGGCCTTCATAGTGACCTGAAAAACACAGCAACCAAACTGTGACATCTGCAGTAGCTGTGGGCAAACAAGGCATAAAGCCCTGCTAAATTAAATTAAATTAAATTAAATTAATTATACCACTCTGTAAGAATCACAAACACTGTTTGCAGGCAATTTGAGTCTTTGTGATATGGAAGCTCTAAGACAGATCAGCAGGTTTACTAGCCCATAACAGAGAAAATCCACAGGACTGAGAATCACAGAATCATGGAATGGTTTGGACTGGGAGGGACCCAAAATCCCACCCAGTGCCACCCCTGCCATGGCAGGGACCCCTCACACTGTCCCAGGCTGCTCCAGCCCCAGTGTCCAGCCTGGCCTTGGGCACTGCCAGGGATCCAGGGGCAGCCCCAGCTGCTCTGGGAACTCCATCCCAGCCCTGCCCACCCTGCCAGGGAACAATTCCCAATTCCCAATCTCCCACCCAGCCCTGCCCTCTGGCACTGGGAGCCATTCCCTGGCTCCTGTCCCTCCATCCCTGTCCCCAGTCCCTCTGCAGCTCTCCTGGAGCCCCTCAGGTCCCGAGGCAGGTGCAGCAGGAAAGGCCCTGCAGGATCCAGGATTTACTGACCTGCCCCGTGCAGCTCAGGCACTCTTTGCCACCAGCCACACAATTCACACAGGGCACTGCACAGGGAATACAGCGAACTCCTATGCAGGAATACAACAAAACTTACGTGTGACTTCACCAAAAATCACCACTCGGGTTTCCAGCTCCTCTCCCGACTCGTCCTCGACGAACAGGAATCTTTAGAAAGGAAAAAAAAAACAAAAACAACAAAACAACCAAACAGTAAAATTGAGTTAGCAAGGAAAAAGGAAAGCAAGGAGTAGAGAGGCAGGAAATCACGGGACCATTACTGCCGCTCGAACCCCTGAGGGACCACCCGAGACCCCCGCACGTCGGGCCCCCAGAGGCTCGGAGCGAACCCGGCCCGCACCGGGAGGCTCCCACAGCGATCCCGGCCCGCACCGAGAGGCTCCCACAGCCCCGAGGAGCCCTCAGGGGCTCAGAGCGATCCCGGCCCGCACCGAGAGGCTCCCACAGCGACCCCGGCCCGCACCTAGAGGCTCCCACAGCGACCCCGGCCCGCACCGAGAGGCTCCCACAGCGACCCCGGCCCGCACCGCGAGGCTCCCACAGCGATCCCGGCCCGCACCGAGAGGCTCCCACAGCGATCCCGGTCTCCCACAGCGACCCCGGCCCGCACCGACAGGCTCCCACAGCCCCGGGGAGCGCTCAGGGGCTCCGGCTCCGCGGGACTCCCGAGCGCCGCGACGCGCCCGCGGTTGCCATGACACCCCTTCACTTCCGCTTCGGCCTCAGGCACCGCCCCCCGCTCTGCAGCCAATCACAGCCCCCGGTAGCACCGTAGGCGCTCGCGATTGGTCACACTAGCCGCCATTCACCGCTAAAGCCGAGGCGCGATTGGTCCGCGCGGATGCCACTCATTCAATGAGGCGAGGAGGAGGCTACGCCCGGCGCGACCTCTGGGACATGGCCGAGGGGAGGGAGGAGACGCTGCTTGCGATTGCCTCAGGAGTTGGGTCCGTATGTACAGTGCAGGCCCGTCATCGCCCCCCGAGCCCTGACCCTTCAGCCTAGCACCGCCGTGATTGGTCGGGGAGGCGGGGTCCTGCCGCTGTTCCGGCCTCTGATTGGTGCAGCGCCCCGCTCGTCATGCAGGGGGCGGGCCGAGGACGCGCGTCAGCGCAGGGGCTGTCAGAGCTCTGATTGGCTGTAGGGGGCGGGGCTCTCCCTCATTTCCAGTCTCTGATTGGTGATACGCCATGTCAATCACAGGGGGGGCGCGTTCGCGCGTCAGTACGGCGGCCGCGAGGGGCTCCTCCCCGCTCCCCTCAGACGGGGCGAGGGCGGCGATGGTGCGTCCGGCGGCGGCGGCTGCGGGCGCCGCTCCGGCCGCTTCGGCCCCTCGGTGCCCTGGCCGCGGCCGGGGCTGCGAGTAGGGCCCGCACAGACATGAGGTACGGCCCGGCGGGACGGGGGGCAGCGGGGGGGCGAGCGGCGGGCGCTCAGCCCAGGCCGGCGGGGGGGCAGCGCCGCCTCAGCCCCTCACGGAGCCCGGGCGGTGCCACGGCCGGGTCCTGCTGCTGGCCGCGGGCGGTGGGAGATGCTGCGCCCCTTGCCGGGCCGGCTGTCTGGCGGTGCCGCTGTGAGGGGAGCGTGTGGCGGCGATCCCGAGGATCCAAGGTAAATCACCCGGCCCCGCTGCCGCCCGGGGAGGAGCAGAGCCCTCCGCCGGGAATGCCATCCCCTAGGAACGCCGTCCCTCACGGCTCGGCCAAGGGCACCGCGGGAAACGGGGAATATTGTCGGGGTGTCAGGGAAGGATGCGGTTCCGTCCCTGTGTGTGCCCCTGCCTCGGGTGAGCAGGCAAGGTTGTGGGTGATATTCCCTCTGGGTATCTTTTGTTCTGCTTCAGCTGCTGCTTTATTTGGGGTGAAATGTGGGGTTTGCTTGTAGAAAATAATATTTTCTGTGAATTACAGCCTCGTGAAGGGAAAACGCTTCCCTGCCTCATCAGAGGGTATTGTTTAGTAAATATAATTCCTGTTAGTGAAACAACCGGCATTCCAGGTGGGATAGTGTAGCCCTCGTTAAAGCAAGTCCTCCTCTACCTCTTCCCACTACCCAGTTCCAAAGTGCTTTTTGTTTGGAGCTTATATGGCAGTAGATATTTAAGGAAATAGCTGTGGATATTAACTGAATATATATTGGAGTCAAGGTCTGAATGGATGCATTTTCTTAAATCAAAAAGCCAAACAGTATTTGGGGTGTTGATAGCTCTGCAGAGTGTTCCTTCACGCCGTCTTTCCTTCTTGCTTTTACATTTTGTTGTAGTCACCTGTAACTTCCCTTGCTGGATATGCCCTGGTGATGTTCTTACGCAGGAGACTTCCTTAGGACCTGAGGAGCAGCTGGAGCTGAGCCTGGAGGGATTTGGGTTGGATTTTAGGGAGAGGTGCTGGCACTGCCCAGGGAATGGGCACGGCCCCGAGGCTGCCAGAGCTGCAGGAGCCTCTGGCCAGCGCTGCCAGGGATGGACAGGGTGGGATTTTGGGGGTCTGGGCAGGGCAGGGCTGGCACTGGGGGATCCCTGGGGGTCCCTCCAGCTCAGGACATACCAAATTCTCCTCTCTCTGTTAAAATTTCCCCCGGGGGGTACCTGCCTGTGGGGGTGAGCAGGTGTCACAGGTAGAGAATCCAGCTGCGTTTCTGCTCCCTGGGAGCTCGGGGCTGTAGATGCCAGCAGGCTGAGACAGCCAGGCTGCTTGCCCAGCCCCGGGGTGCCCTGCCTGGCGTTGGCAGCCTGACAGGGGCCGTGTTTCGTGCAGACGAGCGTTTCAGAACAATTTCTGCAGTGTCTGAGGCGCAGGCTTCCCCCGAGCTGAGTGGGCTGCACCCTGCACTTGCTGCTTCGCAGACCACACTCCATTCTCTCAGCTCCTGTGGTCCCTCCCTGGTGTCCCACTGCCTTTCATTCCACGTAAGATCCTTTGCAGAGTAGCTGTGTGTGCTTGATATTTTTCCATTATGTCCTGGTTCCTAGATCAAGTAAGAATTGGGGTCTCAGAGCCATGACCTGCAGTGCCTGTTGCCTCTCTCACTGCTGTGAGGCCTTTCCTTAATGCCTCTAATCCTGCAATTAGGATAGATTTGGATTCAGGAAGGAATGTGTATCTAGCAGGGAAACATTTCTGAATCGTGACGTTGGATAGCCTTTTATGGTGTGTCATTGTGCTGTAATCAGGGATTGTAATTTTAGCTTTCAGTAGCATAACACCATGGAAAAGAGGAATAGAAGAATAAAGAAAAAGAAGGAAAATACAGGCAGTGGGTTGAGGAACAGGGAGATCAGTGGGGTGGAAGTTTTCTGTAAGAAACCCTTCCCTGGCAGGGTGGGCAGCCCCTGAATCCCTGGCAGTGCCCAAGGCCAGGCTGGACACTGGGGCTGGAGCAGCCTGGGACAGTGGGAGGTGTCCCTGCCATGGCAGGGGTGGCACTGGGTGGGATTTGGGGTCCCTCCCAACCCAGACCAGTTGGGATTCTGTGATCAGGAGTTCCCAGCCACAAACATTTCCCTGTGCTGTGTGCAGTAGCAGAGCAGGATGAACCATCAGCAGGTTGGTTTGGGGCGCACCTCTCAGCTGGGGTGGCTCAGAGTTGACTTGCTTGGAACCCAAGAGATGTGAAGGGTATTGGTTTCCTTCTACCATAAAATAACTCAGAGATTGCCTCAGCTGCTGCTGCGTGCTGGGAGCTTTGAGTGCTCGTTGCTCTTGTGTTGGACACAGCTGCTGAACTTGGGCTGCCCCCTCCACAGCAACTCGGTTTTGTTTTTACTTGCCAAGCATGAAATTGAGTGCTGGGGTGGACAATCAGAAATGGGCTCCAGGCTGAGATCTGGTGATGAATGACTTGTGCACAGGAAACCTCACTGAGAGGTGCTAAAACCTCAGTGGGATCTGTGGCACAACGAGTTAGCCTCTTTTAAAAGTGCACTTTTTACTTGATTACACTGGTTATTTTTGGCTGGCATCGTCTCTGTAGGATTTTAATTACAGATGGAAGGATTTACAACAGTATTGCCCTCATCCAACAAACATAAGCTGTGAGGTTTGGGACTGATGGAGGTGTCTGGTGCATCCACCTGTCTGGAATGAATCTCTCTGGAGCTCTGTGTGTGGCAGGGCTGGAGGTGGACAGGTTCCTGACAGAGAAACTCCAGCTTTAGCTGCAGGAAAGCACTAATTGCTGATAGTAATTAGAAACTAATCTCTCCTATGTGAATAGGGATAGAACAAGTCTGACCCCTCCAGAGGATCAGCTTCTTGACAAGAATAGAAAATTTCTATTTAATAGAAATTAAATAATTTTGAGTGGGAAGGAGTGAAGAGAGGTATTCTTGGGCATTCTCAGGAAGAAAGGTTATTCTGTTTTTGCTGCAAAAGATGCATTTTTTACAGCATTCCCTTCATTGCAATCAGTGAAAACACAGAAAATTTGACTTACATAGTACATCTATGGTTTGGTTTTCTCTTATCAAACTTGCATGTGTTGGATATTATATTTTACTTTCTCATGTGTTGTTTTTAAGGTAATCAAATTAATTCATTTTAGTATCCAAGTGGACATATTTTCTCTGTGAACTCTGCTTTTCAATGAGTTGTGTGGTAAAATGTGAGTCTGGAATTGTGAAATAATCACTAATTTCCCTGCACTGTCCCTCATAGCTGTTTGTGCCCACAGTTGTGAGGGCTGACCTCTCCACCCTATGAGTGTGTAAGAACAAGGTTTTGTGGGATGGCAGTCCTGGAAAATCAACAGCCTGCTGGTATATTCCATACTACAGGTAAATATATTGCTGCTAATAGTGTGGATTAGCAAATCCTTATGACACTATTAAAATAATTCCAGTGCAGACACGTTGTCTCAGAAGTTCAGGTTTTCCTTTGTGTTTTGGCCCTTCAGATTTCCATGGGGGTTCTCTCCCTCAGTATCTTTGAAGGATCTAGCCCTGGGCATGACTAATTAGCTGTAAATGACTGGACAGGGGTTTAGCTTTGCAGTGCTCCACAGAAATGCACAGTTTGTAGGAAATAGTTATTAATACACAAATAATACAAAATACGCAGAACACCTGGATTTAAACCTGTGATTCCTGAAGGAAGGTTCCCGTGGAGCCACCTGGGATGGTTGGCAGCTCTCTGCAGGACTCGGAACGAACCTGCTCTGGAGCACATGGGTTTCTGTAGTTCCCAAATATTTACTGCATTTAAATATTCCTGTGAAATAATCCAAACTGCCAGAGGGCAGGGCTGGATGGGAGATTGGGAATTGGGAATTGTTCCCTGGCAGGGTGGGGAGGGGGTGGGATGGAATTCCCAGAGCACTGTGGCTGCCCCTGGATCCCTGGCAGTGCCCAAGGCCAGGTTGGAGCAGCCTGGCACAGTGGAAGGTGTCCCTGGAGTGGCAGGGGTGGGATGGGATGGGCTTTGAGGTCCCTCCCAGCCCACCCTGTGTTAGAATCCCACCTGCAGGGAGTGGCAGTCCAGCTTTTCCAACCTCCCTCTGGGATCCTGCAGATGCAGAGGGTGCCCATGGCAGAGCTGCTTTGGGGAAACAAAAACTTTTAGTCTTTCCTGACAGCACCTCTGGGTCTCTCTGTTTGAGCCCTTCGAAGCAGTGTATGAGAGAAATGTTTAAATGATGTCTGGTTTTGTGTTTGCTAAAGAGCCCCCACCCATCTCGGGGGGAAGGAGAAGAGGCCTCTCTTGTTTGCAGCCTGATGCTCCTC